GATATCATGATCCATACAACAGGGCATAAGAAGATGAATACATTCTTAATGAAGTTCAAGCAATTTGTAATCGACTAGGCCTCATAATATCTTCCTCTAAAACTAAGATATTAACAAGCAAACGACATCCCCCACCCATCTATTTGCAGGTGGAAATCATTAGCTACGTTAAAACTTACAGATATCTGGTGTAGATGTACCCTTTAACAAATCCACTATACCACAACTAAACAAGAAATGTAAAGCTAGGCTAAATGCTCTCAAAGCTGTTGCTGGCTTACAATCCCAACTATGGTGCAATGTGAGAATCGTGAGAATGATGTACATAGCCTATGTTAGGTCCTTAATTGATTATGCTGCTCCCATGTTGATATTAGCTAGAGGAAAGTTCTTCGACCCTTGGAGTTAATGCAATATTGAAGCTCTCAGGATTATTCTTGGCTGTCCCGATCTACAAAAGTTCTTAACATGAGGAAGGAGGCTTGGTATTCTAGTATCAAGTGATAGGTATTGTGAAATAAACAACTGTACTCGGTATTAGAATGTTCGAGATACGTAACCAGACACTGTCACAGTGAGTGAATACTTACCAAGTGTCTAGAGGTAAATACAACACAGATCTAATGGATTGTGTAAACGTTGGCAATCTGCATTAAGTTTTAAACACTACAGAACTCACTCCTGGCACAAAACTTCTTCTCACCCCCTTGATTCATCCCCCCCCACCCCCACACAAATTGTATCACTGTAGGCAACAAGAGCATTTCACCCCTCACATGGAGGAGTGTTCATTTAATATCACAACCTACAAGTCCTCCCAAGGAAGCTCATTGTAGTAAGCTTTCATGAAATCTCTTGGGTTTATGAGCAAATGCTCAGAAGAATTTCTCACCTAGCTGGTAGTAACAAGTTATCTCACAAGTTATATACATGATGGATCTAATAAAGGAGTATTCTGCAGGGCTGCATTCTGCTCTTGTTGCCACCTCCCTAGTTAAGAACGATAATTAAATTTGTTGAGGTTAGGCATAAGAATTAACAATGGGGCGTTCTACACTGCAAACTGGAATTGTTTGCATTCCTAATGGCGCATAAAGCTAACTATGGACACTGAAGATAGGACCTCTATCATCATTACTGATTCTATGTAATCACTTGAAGGCTCTTGACTCATATAATGCTCCAACAACATGCTCATTGGGGGGGAAGCCAGGTATTAGTACACTCAAAAATTAGGGACAATAGGAATTAATGTACAATTAGCTATGGATACCAATCTCAAACACCCCCCAAATTGGATTACTCCTTCATGATAAAGTGAATGTTAGCCAAGAAGAGTTTCGAGAAGGAGAATGTAGGAATATAACTTGGTTTATAAAACGTGTCTGCCATTAGAATAATATTAGGTGTGAAGAAAATAGTGAAAAATGGAATTGTTATAGGGTCTGCAGTAGAAGCTGGAGTAGATCTATAAACCCAACTCTGATAACATGAACGTAGATAGATGTTTATGGGCAACTTGCCATGTGAAACAGACTGACTGTGTTGTAGTGGCCTGGCCTTAGGCTTGGTTACAAGTACTTCATTGGCTGTTTGGGAGACACACAGATGATGATCAAAAACTAAATGTAAATTATGTGATCAGGCAAATATGGTTCTCTCTTGTACACTATGTGATTAATTGTCCACTTATTGAGGAATACAGAGGCAGACAGTATAAAACCTATATGTGACATGTCAAGATTTCTTATAAACTTATGAAAATAAGATACCAGAATATACTAAGCAAATTTCTAAATTTGCTTGTAACAGATAGGACTATAGATTTATGTAGATTTAAATACCATTTGTTTATTCTGTTAACCCTTTGGGGCCTAGTTCCTGGCCTTTTGTGGTATACATATGCTCTACGCGTAACGTCCACAGGATGGATATGGGCTGTGCACAATAAATCTAGCCCACTTCGGTGGCCCAAAATCTAAAAAATCTAGAACCTTCGAGGAACCTGTTATATTATAATTGTAAATTTGATTGTCACGTACAGATTACATACATCAACACAACATCGTTAATAAGGTTTAGCAAATGTAGAATCTCGCACTTATGATTATTTATTTTTTTTTTTTTATAATGTTCACCATCAGTTCGCTGACATGCATAGTTTCAAGGTTATTTCTCGACATTTTGTTGAAGTTACTGTTCACATGGGTTAAATGAGCTGACTTTAATCTTGTCCCGCAAAACCTGACTGTATGTAAGTGAGCTAGTTTGATATAGAATGGTGGAAGTGAATTACGGGTTTTAAGATGGTTCAAGTGTTAAGAGCAATTCTGTGAAGGAGTTCACGGAGAACACTTGGTTTAGCCAATGTAGGTGTGGATGTGGGAGGCACAGGATCTTGAGTGCACAGGTTGAGTAAAACGGTTGTTTTGGATATCCGTAGCTCGATCGCTAGCGCACTCAGCCGTACCGGGGATCGATCCCCGGTACGGCTAGAAAACATTAGGACATGTTTACATTAAGATACTTGCTGTCAATAGTTCGACCCATAAGTAAAATGAGTACTGGGTGTTAGTAGGACTGGTGTGGGTCGATAGTTAGGTAAGGTTCGTCAGAAAAACGGACAAAGTGTTTCTGACGAGGGTCTTAGTCAGTTGAGACCCACCGTTGGAGATTTGCCTTCTGACCAAGGCCTTTGCTGGCTTTAAGTCCACCCTTTAAAAATTATGGTTAGTGTCATAACCATTGTTTCTTGGTGTGGTCACTTTCCTGGGACAAATAATTTATCTAATTTGCCGCAAATACTTCTGCCATAGCAGGGGGTTTCTGATGTCAGCTAGGCCTATATACCTTATACATGTTTACTCTGCAGAAATTTAAGAGATATTATTCATTATTAATTATTATTTTTATTATTATTTATTATTATTTTTATATTTGAAGCAATTGTTTTCTACTGCCTTTAGGAAATGCGGTATAGATAAAACTAAAACATGTAATTCTGTTATTCTAGCTATAGCACTATTCATACTTCATACCTTGGCCTGCGAATATCTAAATAAATATAATGTAATTATAAAAAAAACTTTGTAAAATCTATTTTGGCAGATGGTGATGTGTTTGTGTTGTGGCACCAGCTGCAGCTCCTCAGCTAGACCTGTGATGAGACACAGGCTGTGGACGTGGACCCGCTGCACCTCCCTTTTCCCACACCTATTGTTCTTATACAAAATGTTCCAGAGAAAGAAAATTTACATAGTTTTATTGGTAGCTGCGTCCTTGTTCATATATACAACAAATACTAGTTTAGAAAATTAAGAACACCAAAGTTTTCCAAGGTGATGTACAGAGGAACACACAGGCCTTTAATGCCACATATATGATATTAGTTGTTCGTTCTTGGGAATTTTAATGAAACGTTATATAAAAAATATGACTCCAAGAAGAATTGTAATGTCTCAAAAGGGTCATATGAAAAAGCCAGGAAGGTAAACAAGGCGGCTGATATTAATGCTAGTAAAAAGCGTTTGTCAGAACATAAAAAAATATTCAATATAGAAAACGATAAGAAGAAAGTGCCTCAACAGTTTTACTCAATAAGTAAAAAAAATAGGGAACACTTCAGCTGCACTCAGTGCAGCTATCTCAAGAACCGAAGACTGTCCTATTTCATAGCACCTTTTTTCTCGTATTCTTGGAATCTTTTCGCAATTAAGAAAATAGACTGAAGCAGTACAACCTGTCCCATTTCCAACTGTGTGTTTCTGTAAACAGTTTCGCCCCCTAAAAACGCCGACGCTGTCATTTCCCACCACGGGGGACTTCAGAAGGGAAAAAAGTTCCTAACAACGCGGGCCCACAACAGTGGTACCTGGCTCAACTTGAAACCCAGCTCAGAAGACTTTATGTTTCCGAAGGTTTAAAAAAAGATGGTGGGCCGGGGAAAATTTTTTAAACTGGTCATACACTTCCACAGAGATTCTGACTTTCCTTCTCTGGGTGGTCCCCCGTCCAAAAGGGGGTAAGTTTGACGGGTTTTAATTAGGTTAAAGACAAATTGCTACGCAGCGTTTTTAAAAAAATTTAATGTAACGTTCACTTGTATACTAAATCCCCACCCCCCCAGTGAAGAATCTTCATTAAAGGTAATTAAAATTGCTTTGTAATTTTTATCCCCGTGATTAAGGTTTTTAAATTTTAATTATAGTATTAGGACTATAGTTTTCAAAAAAAGTCGTCAACAAATGTGGACTTAAAAATGAAAGAAAAGCAAAAATTTAAAAAAACTGCTCACAGATAGGACCCACAAGGGAAAAGGGGGGGGATAGTAAGAATAGTGAGGGGAGGAAAGGCCGTTTAAATACTGTCAACAAACGAGGCCCCCGGTTGAAAATAAAAAAACTTTGTCGTGAGTAAAGAGCGCTGACTAACTCCGGGTAAGGAATTACAGTGGGGGAAGGAAATAGGATAGGGGAAGACATAGGGGGGGAAGTAGAAAAAAAAGCTAGGGCCAAACCCAAGGCAAGTAATTGTGGAATTGCAGTACATGGCTGGTCAGGCTTAGTAGGAAGGATTGGATTATTGGCGGGAAGTTAGGTAAGGTTTGTTTGTCATTGATAAAACCCCCTGGAGTTTTTATCATTGACCGAAGCTTCCCCCTGTTCCGAACACCCCCCTTTAAAAAAATAGAGCTATGAAGGGTACAAATAATGTTTAAATTTTTTAATTTCTAATTATAATTGAAAAAAAATATTAGTGATTTTTTATATATTACATTTAATAAAAACAGTTTAATATTATACAAATAACAAAAAGATATATATTTAATTATATCATTCATATTTCTTAAATTATTACCAGATTCATGAGAATCATATTTCTCAGATCATTTTTTTTTATTTTGAACCTAAAACATTGTAATAAGTCCCTCTGGAACCGCCTGATTCTAAGTTTCGTTTCTCATGGTCTGTCAGATTGATCTGTGTGTGTTTTATATTAATATGGACCTTTTTGTACTTGCTTTGCACTTTGGTGACATCCTGACCATCATTGTTCATATATCGAGCACAGGTGAGGGTGAAGGACCCCGTCCTGGTCTCCTGGACACTGCTGGAGCAACGTACGAGGAATATCTGGAAGCACTAGGACGTGACAGTTTATTGGACGACACCAGTCACGACTGGCATACTTTCCTCTCTCGGCCTAAACTCGTGGCCTGGATGGTATCTCACTGTAGCACCTTTTCGGGTAGGTAGTGTTCCAATGTAACAACAGCATGGATAGGTAGTGTTTTAATGTGGTAGCAGGGCGAGCAGGTAGTATATCACTATAAAATCAAACCGGGTGGATTGTATACCAGAGATTAGATTAGATTTTGCCACCGAAGTGGCTAGTTTATTGTGCACCCCATATCCATCCTGTGGACGGTAGCGCGAGAGCATATGGATACACAAAAGGCCTAGGAACTAAGCCCCAAAGGGTTAACAGGAATACATATGGATTTATATCTACATATCTATAGTTCACTTATCTGTTACAAGCAAATTTAGGAAATTTGCTTAATATATCTGGTATCTTATTTTTATTAATAAGATATCTTGACATGTCACATAGGTTATTATACTGTCTGTCTCTGTATTCTTCAATAAGTGGACAATTAAGCACATAGTGTTCAAGTAGCAGGTTATATAAGCATTTAGAAAGGAACGTACTTAAATTATTGTTACTGCACCTGTGGTTCCCAGGTCGGGAGTTCTACGTGAAGGAGCACAAGAAATATATATCAGTGGACGTGTACGGCCTCTGTGGTGACTTTCGCTGTGGTAAAAGCCATAAGGACCAGGAGTGTTATGCTAACGTCCTGAGACCCAAGTATAAATTCTACCTCGCCTTTGAAAACAACATGTGTGATGACTACATCACGGAGAAGGTAGGTAAACAGTGTTCTGTCCTGCCCTATCCCAGGTCCCAGGTAGTGCACCACAGTAGCAGCAACTCTGTCTTATTGTTTCTGTTCTCTTATAATTCCGGATGGGAACAGAAACGTTCTCAAGGCATGAACTTAATATTTAAAAATAGTTGTCTGAATCATAGTTACGTAATTCTCTCACTAATAAAGCTCTTTAATTAAATTAGTTTTACGCCGCTGCTGTTCTATATTACCCAAGCAACTAACAAAATCCCTTAATTATAAACCAATACTCACTTCATTTTGGGTGTATGAGTAACTGAGGTTATAAACCAGAGTATCATCACTTTATTTTAACTGTATGAAGAATGAGGATAAACACAGGTTCAACACGCTTCTATTGAGTCAACATTTCGCTATATGAAGAGCCTTGTCAAATTACCAAGTCATATACATGTATTGGTAAATAAAGCTTCACACAGAGCGAAACATTCTCCCGATAAAAGCTTGTTCTGCGCCGTGTGCTTATCTTCAATCATTCTTATCGGCAACACAGCACCTTATCCAGCTACCGTGTGACTTTTCTGACAAATGCTTTCCTCCAGTCACTTCCAGGCTTCAGGTTTTAAAGACTATAACTCACAAATTGAACATTGCTGTAAACTCACTACTTGTCACTGTGTATTGTGACAGTATTGGGATATTTTTATTAAGCAAATTTAGATAGTACACCGTGAGGCTTCCTCGATTTATATAAAATTTTACAGGGTTTGAGGACGAGCTACCAATATACACTGGTGCTGCTAGGCAAATGGTGCCTTTATTCTCATCATACTGTTTTCTTTACATACGAAATAATGAAGTCAATCAGCCGAAACTGGGGCTTCAGTAGTGCGATGAGGGTATGGTCGTATATTATACTGAGTTCAGTAGTTACAGCAGCATTATAGTTTTTTTCCAGCATGACTTAAGTTACGTACGCTGTACATGAGGATTAGCATTTCTGGAATGCTGGGAGGGGAAAACTGTATGAGCGAAACAAGTGTGGAGAAGACGAGAAGAAGCAAGTGGCCTGACTCGCTTTTAAGGGAAGAGACTGCATAGACAAGGAGAGGGAGATTGGGTATGTAAGGGGGGGGGCAGGGATAAATGACTGTAATATGAAACGGCTAGAATAAATGAGAATAGTAAAAAATAAACTTTTATTGGACACGCACTGTGCACACGTGGAAAATATTTCAGTGCTAATTAATTGAATAAAATTAAATCCCCAGACAGTACACTGGATTTATTACCAGGAATAGTGCCCCAATCGTTTTTAAATACACATAGACTTTGTCAAAACAATAAAGAGGCCTAGACACTCCTGTATTCACCAAAACATGGTCCCACTCTCCCATTACCTACCTTAAACAAAAATCTTCCAAAAATCTGGAGGTCTTTGCAGGTGTGGCTGCCGCTGTACTACGGCTTGGTGCCAGTCGTGTACGGAGGAGCCAATTACTCTCACTTCCTGCCACCGAATTCCTACATTGACGCCACCCAGCTCACTGCAGTTCAGCTGGCTACCCTGCTCACCAGGTAACTCGTCAGATTACCTCAGTCAACCAGGTAGCGGGTTCTTGTGGTCTGTCATATATACTCCTAAAACTATAAACGGAGTTTGTCGCATCCACTCTCACATGCAATTCATTCCGCTTGTCTACTTTCCCTGAGACTAAAAAAAAAAAATACTTCCTAACATACTTGAGTCTTATTTGTGTTAACTTCATCTAGCTATATAATAATATTAATTTAAAGTAGGGCCCTTCTTATACAGCAGGTATAGTAAAGTGAATCATATTCTTTTTTCACTTTCAAATACATATAAAAGCCTGATAAGATGGTTACACTATCATATATTAAGTGAGCAATATAGCTAGGCCTAAAAAATGTATACGCAGGTACATGCATTACTTAAAATATTTTCGTCCTTAGCTTACAGTGAGTGTTAGTTTAGTATGTTTATTATGCACCCCAAAACCCACCTGTGGGCGGTAGTCACCCCATCCCCATCCTGTGGGCGGTAGTCACCCCATACCCATCCTGTGGGCGGTAGTCACCCCATACCCATCCTGTGGGCGGTAGTCACCCCATACCCATCCTGTGGGCGGTAGTCACCCATACCCATCCTGTGGGGCGGTAGTCACCCCAAAACCCATCCTGTGGGCGGTAGTCACCCCATACCCATCCTGTGGGCGGTAGTCACCCCATACCCATCCTGTGGGCGGTAGTCACCCCATACCCATCCTGTGGGCGGTAGTCAAAAGATTACAAAGGTACATAATGGGTCAAGTGACTGGACCCCAAAGTTATGATAGCTGAACTAGTTTACAAAGGTAATGAACTCCAGGTAGATCTGGTCACAATCATGGCAAGTTACAGAGGTAATGAATCAGCTTCACTCCTATACATGGTTACAGTCATGAACAAATTACAAAGTAATGAGCCACTGATACGTCCACACCTGGTCACAATTGTAATGAGTTATAAATACAAATATTAATTGGGTCATACACCCACACGAGCGCGCGCGCGCACACATACACACAGGAGGGCGCACACACAGACATATGTACATGAGCGTACAAATATATGCATACATACAAGCACGCACCTTTCCAGGCAGGTGAAATTGCTGACCTAGAAAATGTAGAGAGTGATGAATGTATTTATTGTAGAAAGTCTAAATAAATGAAGAAGGTGTAATTGAAAACCACTGTATTAGCGAAACGTCGTAAAGCGAAGTGCTGTAAAGTGGGATCTGTCTGTACGCCCTTGCACTTATTCGAATCAAAGTCAGCAGCCATTTGCATAACCCCTGCAACTTGCCATAGATTATCGGGTAGTTATCAAATTTCAAAATGTTTTATTCACATCTTCAAAGACATAGGTTCAATCGCCTCAGGAGGGTAATTTATATATATCAGAAACAACACTGACAGAGTACTGATATTTGAAGGGGTCCCATTTGTTAGTTTTATTACCTATTATTTTGTACCCTTTCTGTAGCAATAGGGGGCATAGCTGTGCTCGGGGTATCCCATCTTTAGTCTTGCATTCCTTTTTCTATGAGAACTTCCTTGGATCTTTTGTGTACTTTCTTCCCATAACTCTTAGTTGTCTAAATAGTTCATCCTTCAGTCTTATTACCTGATGCTTTACTCTCTTCCTTCTCATATGATTTTGAAGCATTTTCACTCTGTTTTACATTTTTCGGGCTATTTCGTTTTTAAAACTGTCTCAAATATCCTCTTTCAGTGTTTACCGGGAGTTTACCGGGAGAGAGTTCACTCCAGGTAAACACTGAAAGAGGATATTTGAGACAGTTTTAACACGAAATAGTAAAAAATGAAAACAGAGTGAAATGATTCAAAATCATATGAAAAGGAAGAGAGTAAAGCATCAGGTAAGTGTACTTCAGTGTCTCAAATATCCCCTCTGTGTACTTCGTATTCAAAATTTAATTCAAAGTTTATTCTCTATAAGGATTACAATGCTGAGTTTACAGAATTTGGTTATTGTGTGGTTTACATATAGTAAAGTAAAAGATTACAGAGTGTACTACTAGAACACCTAAACATGGCTAGGCATTTCGATGCGAGCAACTTAGTTTAATTCTTAATTTTAAAAATATTACAAATTATGAGGTAAGTTGGTATTATGGCTAAGTGACTAAATACTAGTTTGTGAGTTTAGCAATGTGAATGCTTTTGTTTTTGGGACAGAATAGTTTCAGTATTGGAGTATCACAGGATTCATTTTTTTTGAGATTGGATTAATATTTCTGTTTATGGTCAAATGGGTGAGTGAGTGTGTGAACCACCAGGTGGTATTCGTGTAGTTAGTTGACGGGGTGTATCGGGGAGATCTTTCTAAGGGGTATTTTTTAAAGGGTTTAAAGAAGGGTTCTGCCAGTTTTTAAGGGGTTTCTCAGGTGGGGTTTTTTCCAGTTTTTTAGGGCCTTTGACATACATTGAATTTTTGAAAAGGGTTTTAAGTGGGACAGGGGGAATGTCGTAGAGATGTTTGGGGTCTGGTGCTAAACCTGGGGGTTTTCTCTAAACAACAAACAAAAAAGGGTTTTTTGGGGTTAAAGGGTTTGTTTTGGAGTTAAAGGTCCTGTAGTTGAATTTGCACATAGTAAGTGGGATGTACTGAAAGGGAGTAATTTAATCTATGAAAGGGGGGGGGATGTTTTGCCGGGGAGGGGAAATTAGTGATTTTTTCTTACGGGGGGGCGGGCTTTTTTTTTGGGTTTTTATTGGTTTTTTGGGCGTTTTTGCTCATTTGACCCTCCAAGAAAAAAAATAGCATGGGGTTTTGGGGTTTTATGGATAAAAAAAGGTTTGGTAAAAAAGTGTGAGAAGGGCTTTTTTGTGGAAAACGTAAAACGAATCTTAGAGGATCCCAACCGTTTTGGATACTTTTTTGGTTATTTGTTGGATAGGGGTGCTGAAATTCAGGTTGTTGTCAAGGTATAGGCCTGGGAATTTGGGCCCTCTTTAAGTTTTGGTAATTAGAGTGTTGTCGATTTTAAAATTTTAAATTTTGTCATCCCCCTCTCTGTTACCAAACATAATATATGTAGTATTTTTTTTGTCATTTTAAAGGCGTAAGTTTATTGGCCGTCATCCAAGTCGATTTTTTTGATCAGCTCCTCTTTAAACAAGGGGTTTTAGGGTGGCAAATTAGGGTGAAAAGGTGACAAAAGTCGTGTCGTCAGCAAAGAGAAGGGGTTTTTCAGGGTTTTGGGGAAAACGTTTGGAAGATCATTAAATGTAATAGGAAGAGCGGGGACCCAAAGGGACACTTCCCTGCGGAACCCCATATCAAGTGGCCGGGGGTTTTTGTTGTTTGCGTGTTTTTAAGGGTGAAATACTGATACTATTAGAAAAGGTAAATTTAAAATATGAAAGGGCGCATGGCCCTTAAAAACCGTTTGGTAAATTTTGGGTGGAGTGGGAATTTGTCGTGGCCCTACTTTTGTCAAAAGCTTTTCTTGGGTCAAAAAAATTCCTAGTGGATACCCTTTTTTTCCCAGGGGCTGTGTAAACCCAAAATCTACTTTTTAGATTGAAATCATTATGCTTTTTTTTTCCTAATCCAAATTGGCGGGGGTTTTAGTATTTTTGGGTGCCTTTAAAAATTTGAATATAGTTTTCCTGTGCCGATTTTTCTAAAAGTTTTTGGGATAGCAAGGGTAAGTTTAATTTTCCCATAGTTGTTTAATTTCTGTGGGGTCACCCCCTTTTAAAGTTTTGGGTGTAACCCTTCCATCTTAAATAGTTTCGGGAAGGTCATTTTTCTAGTGGGGTTGTTAAAAAGTAATGAAATTTACATCAAAAGGACAGGGGCCGCTCGCTTGAAACAGAAATTGGGGAAAAGAAACAGATTCCCTGATTTTTTTTAAAGGACTTATAATCTCGGTGATTTTCCGTGGGCCCCAGTTGGGAAAAGATAAAAGGGAATTTTGGGGAAAATTCCCCCATCAAAGGAAACCCCGGCAGGGGCCCATTGGAATGTGGGTTTAAAAATTTTGGGTGAGTTTTGGGATCCAAAAGGTTAAAAGGGTGGTTTATCTTTTAGCTGTGTCTGGGGATGTAGGGGGTTTTTTAAATATCTCCTCTATGTCTGTGAATCTACGGGAGTATATTTGTTTGGCTTTCTTTATTACTTTGGGGTGAAAGGGATGAATATTTTTTAAGGGAATATTTTTTGGTGTTTTAAAGCCCTGTCAAATTTTGCTTTTCATATTGGTGTTTCTTGCAAGGGAAATTTTCAAAATGGTGCGGTAGCCATGGGCAACCAAGCCATGTTTGTAATCTGTTTTTTTTTTATAGGACAATGTTTGTTGTATAGAAAATTAATTTGTTAAAAAAAAATGTCGGCCAGCCCATCAATACCTTGGCCTTGGAGAATTCTGTAGGCCATCAACATTCTCTAGGTCACTGTAAAACTCCTTATTGAGGCCTAAACTTGGAGTCAAAAATGAGATTTTTTTTTGTATTCAAGGGGTGGTTTACTAAGTTTGTCAGGGGGGAAGGAAATTAATGTTTACCCTTTCTGTAGTCGGCCCCCTTCCTATCCTTTTTTTTTACATTATTTTTTCTTTTTTTTCCATTCTGCTAGGAAAATAAAAGGGCTTGGGTCGTGAAAACGATCACTTGCGCTGGGGATACTTTATCCCTTTTTCCCTTTTATAATCTGTTTTCGTTTAGAGAAAAAAACCAAGACCATTTTAAACTTCCCCCTTTTCCCCCCACTTTAAAAGTGTTCCGTCCTGTTTTCTTTTCTTTTAGATGGGTGGGGTGGGATAAAAGTCAAAAAAAAGAAGAAATAAAAAGTTTAAATAAAACAGATGAACCGATAGTAAGTACACGGTAAAAGATATATAAATTAAGGTAGATAGGAAACCAATAAACAAAAATTGGTGGTTTTATACTAACGGATTAAAAGATAATAATCGTTAGATAGAGTGCCCCGGATAGATTTTTTATTATTATCATGGGAAGAGCGATAAACCATGGGGTTTTATGCGGGCGC